AGCTCTTGAAGGACAAGATGAGCCAGATCCCTGCCGGTGTTCCTCCTGAGCAACCATTTCCTACTCCACAAAGTTCACCTTCTCCTTCTCATTTTATTTAAAATAATAAAAGCAAATACGTCTGCCGAAACTAGAGCAATTTTTCGGTAATTCATGATGGAAGTATTTACTTTTGATTCCTGATACAGTTTTGTTTTGAAATCTAAATTGACAGTTCTTTCGACATGTGCAAGCAGTGTGAACACCAGCAAACAGGGGGGTTCGACAAAGTGTGTCGAAAGTAAATTTGAGCATATTTTTTATTATGGCGGCGGTCAAAATCAGATAGTCTAAACGGACCTTAAGAGATTGTAGACATGTGAAACCATGATTTATTCTGCCTTGATCTTCCAAACAGAGTTGGACTCAAACATATTATCAAAATGATATTTTGTTTTTGAAAGCATATTGTTATCAAATTTTGATATATCGTTTAAGCGAAATAGTATAGACAGGTTTCAGGAATTAAAAAAATACTACACAAATACCAAAAAAGAATGTAATATTGATTGACGTAATGCATGCTACTGTATGAATAACTAATGTGATTGCAAAAACCAAATACAATATTACATCCATGGATATAGGGTTAATTACCCCATTTCCGACCTATTAAGCACAACTCGCACTTAGTCTTCCTTAATCTAGCGCAGTTAAGCACCAAACGGAATGTTATTATTACTGATGGCTTCCAAATTTATTTACCATTCCGTACGTACCGCAAGATTTGATAAAGAAAAACCAACCGTTGACATATTGTCAAAAGTCTAACACTGCTTCTTGACGCCAAACTCGGCCTACGGATTCTAAACTCGGCCTAACGCTTTGAAACGCCATTGAAACGCCAATGAATTCACTTCGGCCTATCGGATGACGATAAAAATTGATTTCGTCGGAGCGTTTCTTTTGTTTTTGGGAATAATGTGTGCAAACCTTCATATCACGCGTTCTCATTGACTTCGTTCCGTAGCTTATTAACTAAAGTATCGTACCAAACGCACAATTGACTTGTTAACTCTGAAATCAAGGATTTATTTGAAGTTTGCTGTTCGATAGGCCCAAAATGGGCGATTAAGCCGAAGTAGTTCTCTACCCTAATTTCTTTTCGCAAATTATGTGTAGGATAAATGCACCAATAGTGGAGGTACTTTAGTGCAATGTGTTCCTATGGTGGCTTATAGAGTCTCCCTAAGCCGCTGTAGAAGTACATTGTACTAACGTACCTCCACTATTGGTGCATTTACTAAACATAAATTGTACAAATTAATATTAAACAACCTATGTGCATCTGTTCTGCTGTAATATTCAATAACTTTTTTGCTGTGCCGAGTTAAAAGTACCAACGCCCAAGTTTGAAGAATCGAAAATAACATAAATCAATAAGTACATAAAAAGGGATTCCAGATGGATAAATAGATAAAATAATAATGTGTATAATGTGTATGCACCTGGAATTTTTTTCATCCGACCTGGAAAAACCTGGAAAACTCCGGGAATTTGATTCCTTGGATTGAGTAGACACCCTGTACACGTAAAAAATAATTAGGTGAAGTATGACCTTTAAACTCATAAACCAATATTTCCCAAATACTTTTGCTTCAGAGTTTGTTGGAAATTATATCTAATATGAAGCTTTAGTATGATCATTTATTAGCTAGAAAAAGGTCTGAAGAGGGTAAGTTGATAGCTCCACTAGAATACGGCAGCGGAACTATCAACCTACCCTGTTCAGACCTTTCTCTAGCTAATAATTTATCACACTAAGGCTTCATGTTAGCTAGCATTTCCAACCAACTCTGAAAATCGTGAACTTCAACAAGAAACACTTTGAATACTTTTACTATTTTGAACAGGGACTGAACGGGTAGAATAACTTTATGAACTTCGATATTGGATTTAAGAGTGAGTCCAGAATTAAAACAGTATAACCTGAAACGAAACAGTTCCTCCTCATTTTTGGAAACTCATGATTTTGTCTTCTTTGCTGCATAGTAAAGGCTCTAAATCCAGACGCTTATTCCACAAATCTTGCTGAAAGTTTTGAAATTTGATTATCAATGCTCAAAATAGCTCGTAAATGACCGTATGGTATCGTTCATACATTACACATATTTATCAAGTTGTAAAGTAGACAAAATATATAATACAATAAAATTAAACGTCATATTTAAAAAAACATCAGGTATTCGATGCTTTAGGGTAAAGACTGACTAAAAGTAAATTGGTACGCACAAAATGACCTGTAATTCGTGATCCAATAAGTTTAAAAATTTGATTAATGTTTGCTTTACAGTACTATTATTAAAACTTCAAAGTCACAGCATTAGATGGTTACATTTCTCCAGTTCGAACGAAATCTCGAACCTTCCTCTTGATGGAGTCCATCAGCGCCCGCATAGTGGAAACGGAGACGGAATCAGCGCATTTCTTCCATTTTACCCGCATTTGCTGGATGTCTGGATGTCACCGAAGTCGAAGTCACTGCTTTGAAATTGCCCCCTATTTTTCAATTGGTCGAAATTCCGGGCAATTCGGAGGATTCATTAGCTTGGGGACAAAATCGATCTTGTTGGCAGCATACCACTCCAGAACCACCTTGGAGTAGTGGCAGCTGACCAAAAGATGACTTTTCCCCTATGCTTGCGGATGAACGGCAATACACGATTTTTCAAGGCATTCTTCGATGTAAACTTGGGATGTCATCGTGGAGGATGTGACGAATGGTTCCGTTTTCAGGCCACAACTGCAAATTGTTTGCCAAATCATGGCCTTCTTCGCGAACTTGAATCTTCCCGGCACATCCCCACGTCCAGTCGCGATGTAAAACTTTTGATCGGGCAGCTGCTTAAAATCGATCAAAGTGCAGCGCTTGTGTTTCGTCAAAACACGGTCGTATGCCTTTCACGCTTTTTGGCTACGGCATTCTGTTCATGAGCCGGTTCGGATGTTTACTGGCACCGTTTGAAAGTTGGCGTTGTACCTTCTGGCCACATCTCCGATCGAAAGACCGGGGTTGGCTTTAACGCACCTCAACACCTTGCTGCGCAGCTGACGATCCATGGTTCTAGTTTGTTCGTGGGTCCGCTGATTCCTTGCCACACTCAGGGTTTCCTTGTAGGTTTTGAGCACTCGACAAACTGTTGTTTTCGGCATCTTCCGCATTTTAGCCACCTTGGAACCAGACCACTCCGGATTTTCCAGGTGTTTGTGCACAATATTTTTTCTTCTTTCGAGTACCATTTGACGTTATTTCTGAACGCGATCGACTACTTTGATCAACCTTCAACCAGTTTTTCTCTATAGAATTGTAAACAAACCACTGTCAAAGATTTTCGATTCCGAACACTAGAGGCGTGCTAGCGGCGCGCGAGGGGGGTACCAATTTACTTTTATTCAGCCTCTATCTAGAAAATCCATCGAACGCTTGTGATTTTAGTAGATCATTCTTTAGTGATGTGAGATGCTTAGTACATAGGAAACTTTGACCCTTATTTCAAAAGCTGTTTAACTAAAATTTAATTTCTAAACACCGTAACAACGTAACGTACCGTAACAACTCCATCCCAGCTCCATTTGCGCTAATCAATTTGCCTTCGATGTTTCATTAAGCAAATTGTTTGGTTATACCTTTCCCCTTTTCACGGAGACTGAATAAAATAAGATACCCAACGAGGTACAATACTCCCATTGTCTTATCCACCCACACCCAGTCGGCAAGCGTAGAAGAGACAATGATCCGCTTTTGCTCGTTCCTTTGCCGCTATCCCTGTATCAAACTACTAACTAGACTACTTGGGTATCTATCTATCTATCTTATGCCGTCTATCGCTTGGATTGGCATGATTCCCCGTCTAGGGTCGGGGTTTCTAGTCAATTTCAGTTTTACGAGTCCCTTTCCCCACATTTTTTTTTTTGCTCTATCAAGATTTGTCGATAAAGTTAACCAACTAGCTCTAGAGAGCTATGGTGCTATCGTCACAGCTGCCGTAGTAGTTTCCTCTTGAGAACAATTGATATCGTTTCCCTCTGAAAATGCTGATGAGGAGGTCAACCCAAGTTGACGAGACGTGTTGTGATAACTCACCCTTTGAATCAATCTTAACGAGTCGAGCAATGAGCACGTCCCTCGGAAAAAAGTTGACACAGATGTCTACGAAATGTTTGCCATTCTAGTGAACGTGAACAAATAGCGCACTAAAAAGCAATGATGATGACTCTGAGTAAACGAACTCGGCGAGAACAGAAAACGTAATGAGGTGCAGAGTGTTGAAAAATAAATCGAATCTCTACGAAAATAAAAATACGTAACGAACCACCAATTTTTGGTTAACGTGACATAAGGTGATAAGTAGAAAGAAGAAAAACAAACAGTCGCGATGGTAAATTCGACGGCAACGACGCCTTCGCAGTCGCATGGTGGTGCCCTGTACTACGTGGTGGAGGTACCCCGGGAGCAGTACATGAAGCAGTGTGCCGCCCAGGCACAAGCAGCAGCCACCGCCGGAGGCTACCCGAATCCGGCCTACCAGGCGCAGTATGCAGCCCACCATCAGCAGTTTCAGAATGTGCACAACACCACGATACTGGCTCGGTTGAACAGGTAGGATGCCCCCCACTGTCTTCTATCGATTTCGCGAGCGGAAATATCTACGAGTGGAAATGTCTCGGTTGCATCCTCGCAGCACTCGCAGATACTGATTTCCTTTCCGTACCTTCAATTACTCTCTCATCCGCCTCGGACTCGGGGCTGAAATTGAATTTATGCTTTCAAACTTAATTTCCGTCTTTGCTGCTGCTACATTCTTCACTTTATTCATGTGCTAGGACCATTTCCGGTGGATATTTACTTCGAGATTTCATTCCGTATTAAAAGGGATATACAAATGAAACCGAATCAAATCGAAATAGGAATGTGAATGGTGGTGGATACTAATGATTTCTTCTCTCTTCTCTTTTTGCAGCACCGAATCTGGCTGGGACAACCCATTCCGACCCGGTGGAGACCTGTCGCGGGAAGCAGACGAAATAGTCAATCTCATTAAAGGTAGGTTATAATCATTTTGACTAAAATGTCGGAAGGTATGTAATTCTATATCGACTCGATGTTAAAAAAAACTGAATCCATCCACCAATGCAGGGTGGCCACTAGAGTGATGCAAAATTTGAAATTTTCACTCCACAATACTTAAACGATTCCAAATCGGATCCTGACTAACCTCTCAAAATTTGAACCCATTTGGTGAGAAACTGAGATGGCACAAACCATTTGAAGTTTGTATGGGAATTACTATGGTAAATCCAAGATTTTTGTTCATGTCTATCTAATAATTCACCATATCAGTCTGCTTCAAAAACTTTCAATTGTACTTGTAGGAAATTTTCCCAGCTACAACTTTGCTCAAGTCCGCTTTTTGATTAAATGCAAGGATCGAAAGTTATCAATGGTTCAATGCGCTGATGTCTTATGATCATGCTCAATCAACTGCTCAGCAGGCAACATTGGTGTTTCTGAAGCGTTGAATAGGACACAAAAATCATGGCAAAATGCAGTGTTGCCTACAGAGCAGCTGCTTGATCATGTCATAAGTTCACCAATCTCTTAAATAATTAATAACTTTTTCCTGTCTCGTTTTACATAGAAACGATCTTCAGCAAAGTTGTAGCTGAGAAAATTTTCTATAAGAATGGCTATCGAACTGTTTTGCAGCTCAATATGGAAAAAAAAATAGAAGGCACTGAACAAAAAGTTGAGATTTCCCATAGTAATTTACAACTAAACTTCAAATGGCTTGTGCGAAATCTGTTTCTAACCAAATGAGTTGTACATTTGGGAGGCTAATCAGGACTCGATTTGAAACCATTTAAGCACTGTGGAGCGAAAAAGTCAAAATTTGCATCAGTCTAGTGGCCACTTAACCGGGAATCAAAATCAACCAGGGAAAACCTGGAATTTGATTGAAACCTTACCTTATTTTTTGTACCTATGGTAATAAATCGATATTTTTTTTTTTAATCTTGAATATTTCTTCAATCCCGGATGTTTAACTTTTCCATAGTACAGTACATATATCAAAAATTAAGTCTGAGATCTAAAAAAAACTATAAATGTCCCAGAGTCTGGCATTTTTATTATTTTTGATTATTTTAGAGCCTTAAAAACCTAGTCAACATTTTGATCCATATAATTCCGGATATACCTATGATATATATCTGTACAATCAAGTTGTATAAGATGCCCAGATTTGCTATAGGGGAAATGATCCTATAGTTGCGGTACGTTAGAAGCGTTAGGTTCCTATAGTTGTGCATGGAGACACAATATACAACTATAGGAACCTAACGCTTCTAACGTACCGCAACTGTGGGAGCGTTTACCCTATACGTACTAGAAAGGATACCATATACATCCAATACAGATGTTGCTGACTTCAATATAACAGAAATACGATCATTCATATAAAATAAAACAAAGAAAAGAAGCATTTTCTGCAGCAAGTCTCGATACATCTACCTTCGTATCTGGAAACCGGTACTGAATCCACTACACCATATAATTACTTATAAGTAGGATTATATCAGTGTGAGCTTCGAACAGCTTACCTGTACTTGGAAAGATTTTAATGTTGATGAAAGCTTCAGATTATGTTAACGATTGGATCTTGAGTCGGTTTTAGAATCTTAGGCACCTCCACACACACATCTTATGACAATCATATCTGATAATATACAAATAGTCGCTTAGTTTGATTGCACGCATGATAGAGGTGTAACCATTTACGATCTTTCAAAGATCAGTTGGAATCACAGTTTTGCATTAATTTTCTTATGGGATTATGATTTGAAGCAATCTCAAATGTGATCTAGTGTGCACATTATTATGCTATCTGTGGCTATCTGGGAAGCCATGTACGAGTTAATTGACACTTAATTTTCATCGATTTGATTAGACATAATTTACGATCTATGGTAATCTGTAATAACAAACCAGTTTCAAAAAGTTTGCATTCTTTGCGACTTAACTTAAACTTTATACCACGCATCACATTCTTGTAAGCGATGTTGGCTTTATCAGTAGGAATTTACGATTCTATTTGTACGCTGGTATACGACTTCTGATTGCCTGGGAACTATACAGTCCATAAAGGCATGTCAGGCCCATCTGGCAAAAACAGCCAATCGATAAAAACGCTGTTGAAAATGTATTTCTCCACATGCTCTCATGGATGGGACCAGTGCTGCAAAATCTCGACAATACACGGTGATATTCACAATTCTGATTTGGTCATTTATTTGAGCTAACAGTCATCGTCAAGGCAAACCATGTCAATTGTCAGTGACGAACATGTGTAAATTAACCAAATTTGTAACGAAATTAAAATTAAAAAATTAAAGCCGTTAAAGTGAACGTACGTCCTGAACTGCTTGGATAACAATAATGTAACACAGAATGCACGGAATTACACTTTTTGTTACCAGGTCAATCTTTGTCATTGACAAAAAATGAATGAGATTTTGTCGAAGGTTTTTTTGATGATCAAGTATGTCAGTGACAATGTGAAAAACAATTTTGTCAATATTGCGCAAAAGTCTGTCAATGACAAATCTGAGCTCTTGATGGGACAAGCTAGTTTTAGTATTTTTCACGATATTTTCTTAAAAAAAAACATGTAACTTTTAGTGCACAATGTAAAATTCCGGTAGTATACAATCGATTTTAATAGATAAAAGGATTTCTCAAAGTTTGAGATAGATACAGCCAATTAAAAAAAGCAAGTTTAGAAAGGTTGGACCGGCCTGGTTTTCTAAGACCTTTCTTGATATTTGTTCTCAATCGAAGTCTCAAAATCATAAAAAGAAATCGTTGACAAATTTGCATACACAGCCATTCCATAGTAAAACGATGTTAGTGGTAGTCCGCATCGTGCTCTCTTGCCGTGCGGATCTATTTGCTTTTTGCTTAAGGAAGTGTTACTACTACCTAAAGCTACAACAAATTTAAACAGCACTTTTCAGTGCTCAAGCTGTAAAAATTTTCTACCTTGTTCAACTCTTATTCCTCTTCGATCCTTGTTTGGACCCTACCCGAGGTAATCCTTCTTGGATATCGATTTGGAAAATTCCTCTTCGATCCTTCAGATTCTTATAGTAATCTGCTTGGAAGTCGATTTGGATAAAAATTTACTGCCGCCATGGCGCCTAAACGCAAAAGAAAGGGGCAAACTCTGGACCCCCCTTCTGATGAAATTAATTTGAGTAATCAATTTGATTTGCTCACGGATGATGAGAATGATCCATCATCCAAGAAAAATTCTAGTAAACTTTCCCGGCTTAATGCCAAGAAGGAAAAGATTCCCCCTATCGTGATAACCACTTCCGATTTCCATGCTCTTCGCATGGAACTTTTGAATTTCGTGAAAGTTAAGTTTTCACTACAAATTGGACGTCGGGGTGAATGCCGTGTATTGGCTGAAACCTTGGACGGATTTAAATGTCTTCTCAAGTATCTTACTGAGAAGAAGCACAAATTTTTTACTTACGACACCAAAACTGAACGTGTGTTCAAGGTTGTCATGAAAGGACTGCCCAGTGGTGAATCCCTGGATCAGATCAAAGATGAACTGGCAAAATTACTTGGAGTTGTGCCACTACAAGTAATCAAAATGAAAATGAAATCCCGTCCTGGCGATTCGCGCAACGGGATTTCTAATGATTTTTATTTAGTTCACTTCAAGTCTAGTGAACTAAACAACCTTAAGGCCTTAGAAAAAGCTAGCCTTATGCTCCATGTCCGAGTGAAGTGGGAACACTTCAGGAAGACTGGAGGAAATTTCCAAAACCTCACTCAGTGCCGTAAGTGCCAGGGATGGGGTCACGGAACTAAAAATTGCTACATGCCAGCTAAATGCATGAATTGTGGTGATTCCTCTCACGCAAAGGACGACTGTTCTGTGAAGGAAGATCCTAAGAAATTTAAATGTTCAAATTGTGGTGAAAACCACAAATCCAATTTTTGGGAATGTAAGACTCGCAAAGCGATCCTACAATCTCGTTCTAACCGACAGGTAGGAAACGCTCCACGTTTCCGACCAGGTACAAATTCCTCTGCTGTTAACAACGGTCAGCGAGGAACAAATTCTACATTCGTACCCGTAGGTACAAATATCACCCCTGCTTCAAATGTTTCATCTGTACCTACTCCCCTCGCTGCTAACAATGTTCAGCGAGTTAATGGAGCTACCTATGCTGCTATTGCAGCGGGTAGAAATCAAAATACTAACCAACGTTCTAACGGGAATTTTGACAATTTTGACTTAGGAAGCATTACTGCTCCTAAAATGGAATTTTTACAGAATTCATTAATTGACATGATTTCTGATATGCTTAAATCTAACTCCATGTTTGATGCTATTCAAACTGGAGTAAAATTTGCTAATAATATTGTCATGACTTTAAAATTCAGTAATGGATTTTAAAGCATTAAACATTTTAAATTGGAATGCTCGATCTCTTAAAGATAATGAAGACGAGCTATTTAACTTTTTGAGAGTTCATAACGTGCATATTGCCGTTATAACTGAAACGTTCCTTAAACCTGACCATAAGATTAAGAAGGACGCAAATTACTTGATTTATAGAAATGATCGTCTTGATGGACCCTGTGGTGGCGTTGCCATCATTATTCATAGACGAATCAAACACAAAATACTTTCTTCATTTGAAACCAAAGTTTTTGAAACTTTGGGAGTTTCTGTTGAAACAAAATTTGGACAACTTACGTTTATAGCTGCCTATTTGCCATTCCAATGCGTAGGCCAGCAAAAGATTTTTCTCAAGGGTGACCTTCAGAAACTTACCCGTCATAGGTCTAAATTCTTCATTATTGGTGATTTTAATGCAAAACACCGCTCATGGAATAATGCTCAAAGCAATTCCAATGGTAATATTCTGTTTGATGAGTGTTCTGCAGGTTATTACACTATTCAGTATCCAAACAGCCCAACATGCTTTTCTTCTGCAAGAAATCCCTCAACTATTGATTTGGTC